TTTTAACATTTATTATTAAAAAAAAATTTTTAGGCAATATTTGCTTCCCCCCCACCCCCTCAGACTGAGTCCCCACAGAGTTTCCTTCCCCAAGGCACCCATAACTCTTAGTACTTTTTACAGATTCTCTTATTTAATCCTTACCTCCCCTGGCATGAGCTGACTTTGAAGGATAGGGAGGTTGGATTGACCATGATGGGGAGCATTCCTTGTGGACTTCGCGCCATATGCAGCATCTCCAAGGCAGGATGAGCGTGGACAATGCAAACTCTGCCTTGACAGTGTAGCAGAAACCTCATCAAGCACAGAACAGTAGGACTGGATGGAGAAGTGCCTCCCAGACTGGCTCCCTGGGGTCCCAGAAGTCAGAAGCCCACACAGTAAGAGGCTTGGAGAATGAACAGGACACTAAGTGGCTCGCCATTTCTCTGAACATGATGTCCTGTGCCCCAGCTCCACCTCCTTTGAGTCTGTGTGAGATAAAACTTGACACAGACTCAACACTGGACATGTAAACTTGGGTGACTTGCTCCTCTGCACCTCAGTTTCCTCATCTGTAAAATGGGAAGTCATTGTCCTTACCTTGTAGATTGTTGTGATGATTAAACGAGTCAATACAGGCAGTGTTTACAATAGGACTTGGTCTGATATTAGGTATTGGCTAATATAATTATGAGTGATCTGAGATTACTGCCTTAGGCTGCCCAACATTTTCCCTTGGGGAGTTTCTGTCACTTAACACGGACTGAGATTTCATGGCAAGTATTAGAGAAACTTCAATTCCCCCTAGAAAGACTTTGGAGGCTGCTAGCACTGGCTTCTTTCTTTTTTCCTACCACCTCCAGTCCCAGGCTAGTTTCCCGGCTCTGGCTCGGGGTGTCTGTGTCAGCTAATACACAGCTGCTAGCTGGAGAAGAGTTGTTTAATACCTCATTAGCACCTCCGACTGCTCGTTGTGGGCACTAATCACTTCAGTTTGCTCCCTCTGGAGTCACTCTGAGCAGCCTTTGAAAAGCAGGCCATGTGATGGCCTGGAGACTTCCCCAGCTGGCCCTAATTCCCTCCCTGGGTTGCTCTCTTTACCCAGAAAGTGAAACAACTTAGTGGTGAGTGTGGTAATTATATAGATACATGTTAAAAAAAAAAAAAAGGAGGGTCAGACCCAAGGTCCTTCTGCAGCACCAGAGACAAAAACCTGCAGGCAGCTTTTTTCCCAGAGCCTCCCTCCTTCTCTCTCAGCCCTCACCTGTAGACCTGTCCCCTCACCCTTGCCACCCACAGCTTGGTACAGGAATCAGGGAGAAGGCAAGGGCCCAAATCGAAAGCAGATGTTTGGGACGACGAGTGAGGTTGGGTGGAGACAATAGGAAGGATGTGGACCCTGTTAGAACTGCTTGTTGCTCTGACCCACTGCCAAGGCCGAGAAAAATAGAGTGACTGTTCCTGGTTAAATACCCGGCTTTGACTTGTGCCAAACTTTCCTGGGCCTCAATCCTCAGTCTCTGGCTTTACTTCCCAAGTTCTCCATATCCTGTGCCAACAACTATCTTAGCCCCCTCTTCCCACCACACCAAGCCCCTAGCCCTTCCCGACCCCCAAAAGTCAGGGACTGGAGTTGTGCTTTCTTAAACCCCTCTTCCCACTTTACAATGACATTTTTGGAGCCAAAACCCAAGATATGGTCTGACAAGACTTTCGTGCGACTTCTGGGTATGAAAGGCTGTCTGGAAGTTTGGATGTCAAAATAATAGAATCTTCAGGTGCAGGGGGTTCCTGAGTCAGACTTGTTGAAACCAGAACCACTGTGCAGCAGGCAGATGCATGGAGACTAGCCCTGCATCACCTCCAGCTGTCTCCAGAGCTGCACCCATGAGCCTGCCAGGATCCGACAACACGGCCGTCTACCCCGACAGGGACAGAAAGTGCCAGATCTAAAGAGCATCCAAATAAAATTCCACTGTCTTGACTTCTTGAAGAGACGCAGGCTGGCATTATCATGAACAAGGTTTCAGAAGAGAAATCCCTCCGGGAAAAGGAGCCTGAAGTTTTCTCTAAAGGCAATGGCCCAACCTAAGTTCCAACCAGCTGCAATCTCTAGCTCAGAAGTTTGGGGGGCCAACTTTAAGATCTGCCCAACTCCCAGAGTGGGGCAGGCATCAGCTGCAGTACACTACAGAGATGACCAGGGACTCCAATTTCCTGGACTTAACATCAAGGGAAACAGGAGCAAAGCTCAGTGTTTCCACCCAGAGTAATCACAACCAACCAACCTCATGGCTGCCCGTGAAGCTGATTTGCCCCTTCATCCCTTTCGAGTTCACTGGAAATGGCAAAACATTCTTCTTTTGTCATTCCTTGACCATTCTGACCACAGAACAAACTCTTCTGATTGCTGATAGTGTTGGTGATGGCTCCCGATCCCCATCCACTCAATATCTTTATTTCATTTACCAAGCTTTAGGCTACTGGCCAGTAGCCCGCTGCCAAAGTCAACACCTCAGGTCTGCTTTGTCTGGGAGAGTAGGTTAAAGGGAGAGTTTGTCTGAGATCACAGAGTTCCCTAATCCAGCCTTCCCAGAACCAGCAGGGAGGGGCGGGGGGGGGGGGGGCGGGGAATGGCCTATTTATGGCACAATGAGGGGCTTGCTCCTTGGGTTTCCTGGTTTAGAATCCATCTCTGCAAGAGTCCTTGTTCTCTGAAAATCAACCTGTATGTAAGGAGTTAGGCAGATTTCACTTGTGGTTAATAATCTATACTCTGCAGAGTCTCCACATGCATCAACTAAATGTCCCCCTCCCCCCATTAAACAGCAATGAGAAACTAGGGGAGTGGGTGGTGATGCGTTTGGGTGCTCAAGCCTTAGGGGAAGGGAACAAAACTGTGAGCTGCTCAGAGGCAGGGCTCACACTGTATCTTGTGTTCCTATCTCCCCACACAGTGCCTGATACAGGTGTTTGCTGAAATGCAGCGATGCAAAGAATGAATGGGAAGAGGGAGACCACAAATCCAGTGATAGAACAGAAAGGTTTTTTTTGGTGGGGGAGGTACATTTGTGGAAAATGAAATGATAACTTGGAGGATTAGACCTATGACTTCTAAGAACTAACACAAACCAATGACACCACATAATTTTATTACACTATAACACAACATTTTGTTTTCAACATATATAAAAGCCATCAAAGTCTCTCCAGCTGGCTTGCAAATATCCCTGACCCTGCTAATGGGCAAAGAGAGGAATGTCTTGGCAACTCCTTCAAGTGGGAGTTCTGAGAAGAGAGGGAATGTTGTTGTCTGGAGAAAGAGGATGGGAAGATTCCTTCACATGCAAATCCATGTTGCAAGTGGAAGTGGGTGGGGGCGGGGGTAGGCGCTGGTTCTAGAAATGGTGACTTCATCCCAGAGAGGGACAGGAGTGCTCACCCTCCAGGAGATACGATGCATATGGTTTCAATACTTGGTCTTGTTGAGGTGTGTGTACGTTTTGAAAATGTTTACTTCCTCTGAGATATCCACCAGGAATTTGGCTTTTGCCAAAGGGTGCTGTGTTTCGTGTAAGGCGAGTTTAGAGACAAAAGATGTACTTAAATGAGTTTAAATGTATTTAAATGTTTCTGAGGACTAAGTTACCAGAGATAACATCAGGGTATTGTATAGCATGTCTGACCTCATTTCATTTACATGCAGCCTATGGATTTTCCACCAAAGTGGGGATATTAAAATTTCAGGATTTTCTTGTATTATTTAAGCACAGTTCGCTTAAACTTGAAAATCACCTCATTGGAGTCATTAGTTGGTATTCTATGGAACTTTCTATATGCAAAAACATTTACAGAAACAATATCTCTATCTCCTAGATTAGGGCCTTCTCATAAATCCCAAATCCTCAAGTGTCTGTAAACAAAGGTATACATAGTGTTTATCTGTTGCACACTGTCACCAAGCAAATATGAGGCAGAGTCAGAACACTGGTGACCCAGGGCCTGGGTCGTTTCTTAGTCTAAACTAATCTGCCTGAGATGAACCAGCAAAATGGAGACTGGGCCTTGAGATGAAACAGACCTATGTTCCAACATAGCTCTGTCATTTACTAGCTAAGTAAACTTGGCAGTTACTTATTCTTGTTGAGCCTCAACTGTGTGTTGTGTAGAATGGTAGAAACAAGACCTGCCTTGCAGATTTTTTGTCAATCTAGACAACATATACATATCAAAGCTCTTAACATGAGGGAAAGCTTAAAAAATGGAAGTTTTTATCGTCACTCAGCCACCAGGTGCATTAAGTCAAGGGTATTAGGTTGCCTTAACCAAGTTGCCTTCCACGGCATAGGTTTGAGAACAGTTCTCTCAAATACTTCCTCTGGCCTTTGAAGTGTCATATGAAGGGAGAGAAGGTCTCTTCTGACCTGGGGCCCTCTTCATAGGTGTTTGGGCCAAGTATTCTGAATACCCATTCTCTCTGGCCTGCCTGGACATGGCAAGATAGGAATAGAGTCACCATATGCACCTGCCATTCCAGTCACCCACTCTAGTATCCTCTACTGTCCTCAGATCATAGGCTGCTTCCTCCTATGGAAGATAGGTAAGTCTTCCTATGATACCATAAACCATAGTCAATATGGTATCACGTACTATAATAGGAAGGCTTTTTTCCACGTAATTTTCTTTATTTAGTTAATAACACCATTTTGCAGGTCAGGAAAATACTGAAAGATTTTCTTGCCTGAGGTTGAGTCATGGGAGTTAAAAAGAAAGTATGAATGTTCAAGCTCATCAATTCGTGGCTCTCTATTCTTTGAGGGTCTCATTCTACACATCTGGTGCAAAAGTATCCAAGGATATCTTTGTGAAAAGGCCAGATGATAGGAGATGCCTGTGCTGCAAGGGAGGCAGGAGGCTCAGGGGTCTAGGACTCAGGAACATGGGATACAAGTAGATTCCTGTCATCGGGATGTGCCCTGTTCAAGGACACAAGGAGGTTTACCTATATATATATATATATATATATATATAATCTCTTCACCTAGCTACTTGAGTAAATCAAGGTTGACTTCTTTCTAGTGTCATCCCTAAGTCAAAGTCCTAAGACCTTGCTCACTCAGAAAGTTGCCTGGTCTGCCAATCAAGGCAGAAATACTCGGTCTAAGGCTTCCGTGGCCATGAAAGACTGCAAGGCCATGGTAACCTAATTGGATAGCAACCATATCCACGGGCCTCATTCTGGATAAATTATCCATCATCTCCCTGAAGGAAAGCTACAGGGGGAACTAGGCAGGGAGCCTGACATTCTTCTTGCAAGGTGACTGGATGCTGTGGTTCTGTGCTGGTGTGCCTGCCCCTAGAGAGATTACCACTTGTGTTTAAGCTGGTACTGGTGTGCTGGCTAGTACTAACAAGCAAGGGCTCTACAGACAACCTGGAAAGCTCTGCTAAAGCTACCACTGATGCCCAAAACCTAGTTTTCATTCCGCTGATTGTGAAGAGACTGTGACATTCACATTCCCTTAACAGGAATTCCCTGACCATTCTACATAGATTACACCTCAGTCTACTCCAGAGAACCAGGTCTTTGCTGTGCGGCTACCAGTGTTCTTATATAAGCAAAATCCAAGTAAACCAAATGGGGGTGGGGGGAGAGGGTGGTATTGACAAGAAGTCACATTTCAAACCTAGGCCACTCTGTCACATACAAATCAAGATCACCAGAATCCCTTTGGCAGATGTCTAATGTACCCTCTTTGCCCTCCCAACAAAAAGAACCAAGCTTTCCAATAATTTGGAACGGCTTCTTGCTAAATGGTGCACAGATTCAGTTCTCTGAGTCAGAAATACAAGTCAATCCACATTTTTGGAGATATTTTGGTGCTGATTCATGTTCAACACTATATTTATATATTCAAGAACCTGCTGCAGACACCCATGAGGATCACCACCACATTAGCCCTGCCCACAAAACCTGTTCAAGAAATGAAAGCAAAGGAGTGACTAATTTAGCATGTCTGGAGAAAAAATTTTGCAGTGAGACCTTATAGTCTTTAAATATGATTCACTGGATTCAAGAGTAAGAACCTGAACTAGATTCTCACAAATCAACAATGGTCTCAGAATACTAACTGTGAGCTGCTATAATGACTGAGGAGACTCTGATCTTGGATAGCGGCTCAAGAGACCATATGGATTCCTTTTCCGTGCCTCTCTATAAATTTAGGACAAGCTGTTTGGAAAGGGAATTGGTGAAAGGATTATCACAAAAGTCAGGGTAATGGTTACCTCTAGAGTGTGGGATGAGATTTGCTTTGCGGCACTGCAATGTTTATTTCTTGATGGGGATGGTGGCAGCACATGTGCTTCCTTTACTATTTAGTAAGTTGTACATGCTCATAGATGTTACATCTCGAAATAAAAAAGGAAACATTCATTTTTAAATAAAAGCATTACGGAGTACTCTGGTGAATCCGCTCACTCTCTGCACATCTGGCCTGTACCCCAGTTCTTGTATAAATAAATAAATCTTAAAAAAAAAAAAAGTATTATGGCGTACCTGAAGTTGATCTATTATGCTTGAGGGTCTAAGTGAAGCCAAAGTAGAGGTTTGGAGCCCTCTGGAGCAAGCTAACTGCTGAGTGACCTGTACTGTAGGCCTAAGAGAAGTGTGGCTGGAGTGAGAGGTCTGAGAATTCTTCGCAGTGGCTTAGAGGTAACAGTGCACAACAGGCTGAAGCCATTATTTTCTGTTTTAATTCAAGAACCATCCTACCAGCCTCTTGAGACTTACAAGTAACTTTATGATGGACTGAAATCACTACATGATGAGTGCTCATGGTGACCCATTCAAAGCCACAAGAGTACTAAAGAAGTAGGACTGTTAATCTAAAAACGTATAGTTAAAGCAAAGCCAGGGTCCCTAATACTTTTCCTATTAGGCCCAAATCAGAAGTCTGGTTTTCTCTCTCTGTCAAACTCATTTTGTGGGGGGTGTGCTGGGGGTGGGGGAGATGTACAATTTTACGCAAATCAGATATACATCAAAGTGTTAGCAGTGGTTAATTCCAGATGACATGTGGCCTGTACTTTTATTTCCAAATTCTCTGCACTGAGTTTCTTATGTTGTAAAATAACCATAAATTAATGTTCAAAAGATTGATGAGAAAAAGACTCTTGCCAAACCAGTTTCCTCTTTAGGAGCCGAGAACAAGCACACCCCCCACCAACTGGCTCTCTGTGCCTGGCACCATGGACAGCAGTCAGGGAGGGGTGAAAGGGCAAGGCTTGGGACCTGCCAGAGCTCTCGTGTATGTACTACACCAAGCTAATGCTTGTGACGGAATCACTGGGAAAAAGCAAAGCCATTTCTAAATTTTTCTTTCCGTCCCCATCTCCAATTGAAGCCCTGAACCACCACTCAAAACAGTCACTTGCTCCTTGTCCTTTTAAACAGTGATTTATTTACTGTACAAAATATTTACACTATTACTGCAACTGTCTGGCCCTTTTGCCTGGCCTGACAATTTTGCAGCAGGGCTTGATCTCTGCTGAAGTTCTAGAAACGTGCCAACACTCTCCGTGGTGTTCACTTGGTGCCCGGCTCCTTCAAAGACACTAAAAGGTCAGAAGGTTAGCTGCCCCACCCCAACCCCCACCCCCAGTACCTGGGCCACAAGGGCATAAATTAAAGAACCAGCCAAAATAAGAAATGTGAATTCAAAAATTGCCCAAGAAATAACAGACACTTTTCCTTCTCTTCGAATATTATACTTTCAACCCCCACACAAGCTAGGATTGGGGAGTGGGGTTGGGAAAAAGAAAGGCCAAAAAGAGCAAAATGCCTTTGAACAGAAGTAGGAGAGAGTAAAGTTGGGGAAGAATAGAAAACCACAAGAGTACCAAAGGGTTTTGTTAAACAAAGACTCCGGGGCTAAGGATGCCCCAGCTGGGTTGCAGTGGTGCCCAGGAGGCTCTGCAAAGTGCTACGACTAGAGCTTAAAATGACAGATCTAGCCAAAAAAATCAACTCATGCTCCAGCACCAGTCTCTGGAGAGCTGCTGGAGGGGAGAATGCAGAATCACAAGGAACAACTGCCAAAGACAGCAGAAGCAGTCCACCTGCCCCCAGCTGCAAACTCGCCTGTACGTATCCCATGGGAAAGCAATGGGGTGAGCAGCAGCACCTTGTCCTGGTCCCTGAGGAGAGCAGTGACCATGTGGCATGGAGGACCCTGGGGTGCATAGGCCCGATGCTGGATCCTAGGCCCCAAGGGTAAATGAGGTCAGCACCCATGCCAAGGACAAATGACAACTGCGAAGAAGTGAGGTCAGGCAGGAAATGTAGCAGCTCAGGAGGGCTTATTCCTTGTGATCCCTGGGAACAGGAGGGCTCAGACATGCTTCTGGGAGGCTAAGGCCTTGCCATGAGTCTTGCCTCATCTCTGGACTCTGCACTTGCTGGTTTTGGCAATAAAGATGGCTTGTAATATTCTCAGAGTTGAATGCCCCAATGGGAATGGTAGCTTGTAGCAAATCCTTCTTGAAAACAGAAATTTGGGAAGTTGATGAGATTTTGAGTCTTGAAAATGTTTTCATCCAAATTGTTGAAAGAGGACGCTGTCATCTTTCCAGAGGCAGCTGCAGGTTCTCTTCAATCGTCACACCACAGTGAATCTATCTTCCTCCCTCCTTAGTTCCCCTTGCTGGCAAGTGATGGAGTGAAGGGAGATAATCGGAACAGATAGGCATTTACTGTTGGCTTATCTTCTCTCTCTGTGTTCCAGTGTCCTGACCTCAAGGACCTGTGATAACCTCTAAAACAACGGATTCCTTTTCCCTTGTCTCAGTGCTGCCAGGAACCACCAAGCAAAGAGAGAAACAGGGATTGATGGTATGCTATTCTTACTGTCCCTTATTAAAAGTATTCTTTAGCAAAAAAAGCGAACGAACCCCCAGCATTTCCCAGCTGCATAAACTGGAGGTTAAGTGGCCAGGCCCAGCCATACCTCACTGTAAAGAACAAATGCAGGAGAAGCATCAGTAGTCTCTGAGCCAGCCATGTGCCTAAACAGGTCCCTTAGCCCTAAAGGAGAATCACATTCCTCACTGGAGGCTACAGCCCAGCTATCTTTCACATTCTTAGGTCTGTCTGTTTTTCTCACTGGCTCAAACTCAAGAAAAAGCTCAGACAGTTCTTTTTTGTGGGCTAATGATCATTTCCCAGAAATGCTTGCAGGGAAAGCTCCCTTTCCAGTTCTGACACCACAGAAACATGGTCTAGAGCTACCAGGCCCTGTTAGAGGTAGTCCAGAGCCATGGCTGGCGCCTGTTGTGTGGAGAGACAAAACCAAAGATTGCCCACATGGGCCATCCTACCTGGGGCTTCTGCTGGCCCCAAATGAGAAGAGGCAATTAACCTGTCCATGAGAAGGACTCATGTACCTCAGGTCAAGTAGCAAGGGCCACAGAAGGGACCTCTGAGAGCATCAGCAGAGGTGGCTGAGGAAGGCGAGAGAATCCAGCCTTCCAGGAGAGCTGAATCCTTTATGTAATCTCCCTCAGCCACTCTGGCCACTTCTACTACTGAGATCTTCTGAGAACCAAGTGAAATTACAGCGGCACAGGCCTCTCTCTTCTCATGACTGAACGCATAGCTCCGATTACATACCATGCTAAAATGGCCAGTGAGGAAGATGGACAGGAAGGGGACAAGGGAAGGACAAGGCTTGTAGGTGACCAAATACTCCAGACACAGGGGAGCATGCAGCGCCTTCTGGCTGATGGTTATGTGTGTGTTAGGGTCAGTGGTTATGGCGTCTGTAATGTGCACCCCGATGCTCTGGAGAGTACGGGACCCAAGTGGATGGCAGGAGTGGTCAGAGCATGCCAAAGCCCTCGCAGCCCTCGCTGATGGCCAGCTGCAGCATTCTATGCACTTCTTCATACGAGTCATACGTGGGGAGGCACAGCTGGTTAAAACTGGAAGAGCAAAGGCAGAAGTGATTAACTCGCACTCCCAGAAACATAGGTAATGACTGCAAAGAGAATCCCCCAGGAAAGTGTGCAGGGGCAGTCAGATACCTACCACGTATGTGCAGTTGGTAGCGTGCTGTGGGTGGGAGCAGCAATAATCTGGAATGAGGGGCAAAGGGCAGCAAAGCCTCCAGGGGGTAGCTGAGAGGAGCCTGTTGTGAATTGAAGTAGCCGAGCCAACTCCTCCTGGGTCAAACTGGAAACCACAGTCCAAAACCACCTCATGACCTGGCAAGGAGAGCACAATGCCAGTGTCACATCCAGTAGGCAATCCAAGATTTGACCCAGGGTGGGGCAAGGAACAGAATACCCTGAAGAGGGGGGTGTGCCCCAGTTACTGTTCTCTATGCAGACATTGGAAGGAACTTTTAGAATTGATAATCTCTCAACGCTGTCACACAGTGAACAAGAATCACTGATTGCTTGGCTCTATTTCTTTGCCTTTCCTATGCTTCCAGGGCTCCCTCCTGTCGAGACAGCCACCCACATTTGATCATTTTTTCATATTTATCATTTCCCACACTTACCATTTTTTCCTAGTCAATATGTCTGCTTCTTTGACTCCTTGACTTTTTCCTCTGAAACGTCTACCTCACCACACAGCATAAATCCAACTAACAAGAGTTTGGACTACTTACCTTTTCTCTGAAATGCCATGAGCCGCCAACAACCACTGCATGGGCTTTGAAGTCAGACACACTGATGTCCCCAGTCCCACACATCAGCAGCTGGAGAAGAGAGTTAGGTGTTAGTAGGACAGTAGAGGGACAAAGACCCAACATTAGGTCAAAATGACCTATTAGTATATAAAGTGTGGAATAAAGAAAACACCAAGAAAAAGGCTTAAGGTGGGGACATAATGCCAGAATAAAGCTTTTGGAAAATCAATTAAAATAGACCAATGGTCGCAAACTGGTGGGGTAAAATTCACACAGCTTTCAAAAAACACATAGATACGCCTATGGTCTTACCTCAGAAGCTATTGAATCATAACTCTAGGAATGGACTATGAACTTATGTATTTTGAAAAAGTTTCCCAAGCATTTCTGATGTACAACCCTAATGAAGAACTGCTGTTGTGGGTTATTTTGAATTGAAACAAAGGACAAAAAGACATTAGTTTATGACAGTCTGCTCTGAACACAGCCTGGGGGTACCAGGAGAAAAGGCAGGCCTTTCATTTTGATTAAGACCCCACAGCATTTATGAATTTGTCAGATGGTTCTCCTTTCCCCTCCCCCCACCCCCAGGATCCAGCCCTTCTGTGGATTAAACTTTTACTACCTTTCCTTCAGCCCTGTCTCTACTTGATCAAATAAATTTAAAAGTACACCAAGAGAAAAAAAGAGAGAACATTAATGACATCATAGCACCAAACATGTTGTTAATGTCCTAATTTGGTTCAGGATCCAGTATGTTACTTAGCAGACAATGAGAACTCATCCAATAGCTATAAAGAACAACATATTCTAATCAAGAGACAAAAAAAGCCCAAAACAAGCCTGAGGAGCTTAGCTCCTTGGAAGGAACATGCTAAGCTAACAAGTAAGGGAGAGCAGGATGTGGACAAACTGTACGATCTTGTGTCCTCCTACTGACTTTGACACATTGTTATGAATGCTTTGCTTCATGACATAACAAGACACCACTAACTATTCCTCAGTCCAAAAAATATTAGCATTGGGTAATTGAGCTACCAGGAACTTAGGCTGAGAAGTGGAGAGTTCACTTTGCTTGGATTTCGTACTTGAGGGTACAAAAAGTGATGAAAATTGCATAAGACTTTGATTCTTGTTCTAGAAGTCATTAAAACTGCTTTTTTATTCCCCATTTTAAAAGAAGACCTTTCACACTACATGAGACAGTTTGCAAAAACATCTCCTCATAAAGACTACAGAAAGTTAAAACTATTCATTTGCACTCCATGTGTCAAGGGTGAGCAGCAGGTAAAAACAGATTCTATTTTTATTCACACCTGTTATGAAATTCAATTTTGTTAATTATAGAATGGAACTTACCATCTAATAGCCATTTTTGACTGTTACAGGATCTGAAATAAAGTTATTTATACTATGTGGCCCCAAACTTGGAAATATGTCACCTCTCTTGGTCTGTCTCCTTCATTAGAACAAGGCTGATAAGGGCCAGGGCTTTATCTTATTCACTGCCATCTCGCCAATGCCTTAAACATACATGGCATTCAATAAATAAATAAATTCCAAACTGGTCCAACCACTGTGGAGAGCTGTGTGGAGATTTCTGGACCTACTAAACATAGAGCTTCCATATGATCCAGCAATTCCACTCCTAGGTATTTACCCAAAGGACACAGAAACATCAATTCCAAAGAGCACCTGCACCCCTATGTTTATAGCAGCACTGTTTACAATAGCTAAGCTTTGGAAACAACCCAAATGCCCAAAAATAGATGACTGGATCAAGAAGATGTACATATATTAGTACATATATACCATGGAATATTACTCAGCATTCAAAAAAGATAAACACATGCAATTTGCAGCAACATGGATGGCGCTGGAAGGGATCATGCTCAGCGAAATAAGCCAGAAAGAAAAAGAAAAATACCGGATGGTCTCACTCATAGCAGGAATCTAGAAAACTTAAATAAGGGACCAGGAAAATGAATAACTATAAGAAAGTGAAAATCAAAATCAACAAAAAACTATGAACCAGAGATACTTTTTGGGGGGTGGGGGGCGGGAGGGGAGGGATGGGGGTCAGAATGGGGGGGTTGCAATTGTATGGGGGAATATAAAAATAAAATTTATTATTTTAAAAATAAATAAATAAATAAATAAATAAATAAATAAATAAATAAATTCTAACAGTCCTTTAAATCACATATACTTGCCACAGGATTTGCAAAGACTGCACAGGATACCAACATTCTGTGTCAATATACTTGAAGAATAAATAAATATTGATCACTCTTCAGAAATAGTCATTTAAAAAAAAACAGTCATTTGTTGGTTTCTAATGTTCTTATTCTAACTTTTTAAAATCTGAAGAACGGATTAATGTATGGATGAGTGAAAACAGTTCTTGCATAAAGGGCTGTCCCAGAGCATCTCCTAACAGAAAATTCAGTAAGCTGGTTCCTGTAGGCATACTAAGCACCCAATCAAGATATGGGTTGGCAACTTTAAGCACTCACCTCAAGTTCATTTTCATCAAAGATAGCCAAAAGGTTCTCAGGGACCAACTCATTCAGGCCTGAAACAAAGTAGCAAAGTCAAAGCCATATCCAGAAGTAGATATAGGTATCTTCATATCTTCATCTCAAAGCCAAGAGTAGACTGTACCTCACCTTTTAGAAAATGTTCCACCTCCTCTTTCACTTGACTGGCCAGCCGATATTGAGCCAGTAAATTTAAATAGAAGATTTTATTTGCATTGGTGACTGGGGTTTGAGCTCCGCCTGTCATGAGTTCTACAACCTGAAATAGGAGGCAAGGCAGATAAGGAGAAGCTGTGGATTGAAGTTTATAAGATGACATCTGCTTATTGTATATCCAAAATATTCCATTATTGAATTCCATCACAGTCACAAGTTTCTGCTGTGGTTTTATCTACTTGGTTTTACTTAGTTATTAAGCTTCTCGGCTCAATACTATTGTTCTACTATCATTTGTTAAGTAGATAGCTGAGTGGGTCTTCTCTAACCTGGACAAATAGGAAGATTTGAGTATGGTTCCAGTTAGCAACACTTTAATGCCTCTATGATCCAAAATTAAACCCCCACTAACCTTATCTCAAACCTGAGCCAACTGAAAATAAAACCCAGATAAGTAGTAAAGAAGTCTTTTTAGGTCTCAGAAATTCTAAGGTGGAATTACATTCGTCTATTTCCAATTTGAGACAATGGGAAAAGCCCTGACTCTAAACTTGGAAATCCTAGATTTTAATCACCACCCTGAAGCTAACTTGCTACAGGATTCAGTCATTGACCTTTTTTGGGCCCCAGATATTCCTATCTGCAAAGAAAAAGCTGAAAAACCCTCACGATTCTCAGATGGAACTGGCACCCTACACCCAACAAACAACACAAGGGGATCTCTGAGGATGTCCTGAAGCAGTTTAAACCCACCCCGTGTACAGTGCCAAGGTTATCTTCATAAATGAAAGAAGGCCTCCACTTAGTTACAGGATCAGATTTTAAGGTACTGACAGCAGTACAGTAGGGAGGGAAATTTACTCAGAGCGTGGATTCTCAATAGCTCTAAACATGTGAAACTTTTTTCTGCTATTATGCACATTCTGGTTATTTTTTTTTTATTTGAGTAAAGATTTCTATCCAGTAGCCTAAGAAGTAAGTTACTGAGATTTAGTATTCCTATTAATTCCAATTAAAACCAGCACTCCTCTGGGCTTGTGGACCATAATTCAGTTTTCTATTGACTCTAGCCACCTTGCCACACCAGCTCAGGAAGACAGGCTCTGCCCACATGTGTCAAAATCTGAATCTAATGAATAAGTGATTATCAGTATGGTTATATCGGGGGTCACAGCTTTTAAGTCATTGATATTTTGCTTTCAATTATGTATTACCACAACTTTAGCTTCATCATTATCACTTGATACTGTTTAAGCAGAACCAGAAATACTTTTGACCAATAAGTTTTCAATAAAAGGTTCTGAGATATATAGGCACAGTGCTAAACAGGGGTCACCACCCCTAATGTGGACATAGGGACTGCCACCCCTTCCAAAACTGCTTATGAAGTGATAATTAAGCAATAAGTTCTAAAAAGTAGAATAGGTGGGACAGATGGGCACATGCCCCTTTTGGTCAAATGGACCATTCAAATGAACCAAGATGGGGTTGAATACTGTGTGTCCTGTGAGGTGAGACAGCCCCATAGACATGAACACGGACATGGTAAAATAGAACTCCAGATTATAAGCAATGGAAGACAGAAGAGGCACCTTCAGAAACTGTCCAGAAGCTGGATGCAGAACTAAGGGATTGATGGGGCCCCAAATGAAGCTTGGAGACACATGGGGGGCTTTGCAAACAATGTTTCCTTTGTTGGTGCACTATTAAAAGGATTCAAATGGGGATTTGTGGATTTGTGGGACCTGTGAGAGCGAAATATTACCTGGAGCCAATAAAGATAAAGAACATCGCTGAAGATAAAACGTGAAAGTAACTTAGTGGCTTCTTAATTCATAAAAATAAGATTTCTTAACTATAACCTACTTCTGTGTGTTTGTCCCTCCAAGAATACTATCAACAGTAAAATTTAATAAGGAAAAAAAAAATGGACCAGGGTCTCCCTGGTGGCTCAAGGGGTTAGCTTGAGTACAACACTATGACGTTATCCACAGCCTCTGCAGCATAAGTTCGATCCCTGGCCAGGGAGCTACCCACATGACAGCAGACCTCTCCTGTCTCGCTGCTCCCTTCAGCATTGTATTTCAATCAGTCTGCCTGTTCTGCTCCCCACTCTGTCGCTGGTGAATCCTCTCACCCCCCACACCTCTGACCAGCTCTTGTATGCATAAATAAATCTTAAAAAAAAAAAAATGGACCAAGACCACAAAATGTGTGATGCAATGCCCTAAAGCTACAGTGTTTAATATGCCTGCCATTAGTCTCACAGGGTTATTTACATTAAGTTAAAGAAAAAAAGAGAAAATTGGCTACTTGATCACCCCAGTCACATTTCGGGTTTCCAAACAATTGCACAAATAGGGAACATTTCTATCATTGAAGAAAGTTCAATCTGACAGTGCTGCTCTCGTGGCTGGGAAACTGGAACCCTAGGTGTTGGTCCTCTTTCTCACCTTATCCAATTGGCCTGATTTGTTATATTTCTCTTCTGCAAAGACCAGCTCCATCTCACTCATGTCATTGTTGAGGATGAAACAAACTTTAGATTTGTAGAATTCTGGGTCATCTGTTTCAAAGTACTGAGGAGACAGGAAGACACAGAACAGATCATGACTCTTCCCAGAAATTAAAACTGTAACCACTTGCAACTCCCTCAGCTTAAGAATAATAAGCTCAGAATGGAGAAATTCTGGAGTTAATGGCAAGGGGTGTTAGTAGAAAGTGCACACCTAAAATGTTACCTTGTAATGCATACGTAATCCTATGATTTGGGCCAAGAAAGAACGGGTGAACCGAGCTCGGACCAACTGTTTGTAGGCCCCTCCTAGAGAGGACTCATAGAGACACTTGCCCACCAGTCTCCCAGCAAACTCATATATCTTTAAGCGAAGATGAGCGGGGCGATTAGGGTTGGGATGCACCTGCCAAAGAAAGAGATTAAAAAGCTCTGGGTTATTTTTCTTCAAGTCCAGTTCTGGAAAGACCCTCCTTCCCCAACTCCACCCCATGGGAGCAAGAATTTCAGTACAAGGATCAAAGAGCCCATCTAAACGGCATTACTCTTTTGGTGGCTATTGCTGAGTCAATCAGTGACTTGAGGAAAGAATCTTAGATTAAATTTGCACTTCCTGGCTGAGAATGGAAGGCATCAGTGGGTGATGTGATGCCTTTTCCCTAAAAATAAAGATTTTTTAAAGATTTATTTACTTATGCATACAAGAACTGGGGTATAGGTCAGAAGTGCGGAAGGTGACAGGATTCACCAGAGACAGAGTGGGGAACAGAACAGGCAGACTGACTGAAATACACTGCTGAGGGGAGCAGCAGGCGAGACAGGAGAAGTCTGCTGTGCCATGTGGGACCGAACTTGTGCTGCAGAGGCTGCGGATCACCTCCTAGTGCGGTGCTTAACCCCTTGAGCCACCAGGGAGGCCCCTAAATCTAAACTTCTTTTGCCAAAGTCTACTTCTCTACTCCCCATACCTCTACTCATAGATCCAGTACAGAATTCAATTGCTTCAAGAACGTTTTGAGAAAGTTATTATAATAACTAGTAGGAAAGTCATTGCATTATAATAATATATATATATTTTTTTGTGGGACCCTCACCAGCGGCCAGGGAACGAACCGGCGCTGCAGAGGCTGCCGGCAGCCTTGCAGCCCAGCGCTCAACTGCTGCGCCACCAGGGGAGGCCCATAATAATTTTTATTGAACATTTATCTGTTTGCATTTTTTCTTACTTTATAAATGAAATAATGAAGAAAAGCAAAGGGGAAGGAGGCAATCTCACTAGTTCATATTGCAAGGATCACAATTAAAAACAAGGCACAGGTTGTTAGATTTATACAACAGTTACATAACCTCGAACCCTAGTCAGTCTGTCCATTATCACAGAATCCACATTTCACCCTCCCATGGGGAAGTCATACTTACTAACGCTTGGTTGTTGTCACTGAATCGTGTGAAGAGCTGATTGGTGGTATCAAACAGTGCTTTGCAGATGAGCTCAAACCATTCCCGGCGAGGTCCTCCCCAGTCCAGAGCTGAAAAGTTTAATAAAACTTTACTCATCACCTCTTATCACACTTGTTCATTTATCCTTTGTTTTACACTCTCCACATTCCCTCCTTTCCACTACCTTAGTGTTTCCCCATTCCAGTGCACCTAAACTATCAACATTTTTTGAAATCCCACCCCTGTCTGTAGGATTAAAGAATTAAAGGTGTGATCACTAAGCTATTGTCTTCTAGTGTGGAAATACAGACCAGAGACCCCAGGAAATGGACATTTCTCTTCATTCTACAAAGGCTACTTTGTCTATCATTCAAACTCTTTTTAAAAAAAAAAGATTTATTTATTTATTTGTTTATTTATTTATTTATTTATTTATTTATGCATGTATGCATGCATGCATACAAGAGCTGGCATGCAGGCCAGAGATGTGGGGGGTGAGAGAATTCACCAGAGACAGAGCGGGGAGCAGAATAGGCAGAGCTACTGAAATACACTGCTGAGGGGAGCAGCGGGTGAGACAGGAGAGATCTGCTGCGCCTTGTGGGTCAGCTCCCTGGCCAGGAATTGAACTCATGCTGCAGTGGCTGGCCATAGCTTGATAATGCTGAGACTTTAACCCTGTGCCACCAGGGAGGCCCCCTATGATTCAAACTCTTAAGCATTCTCTCTCCAAGGTTCTGTTGAGACTTGTTTGCGCTACAGTCTTCACCAAGTCATCTGGCCATGAAACATCACCCTTTTTTGGTCTTGACTCATGACTTCTTATTTCCTTGGAAAAAGGGGTTTTTGTTGTTGTTGTTGTTGTTGTTTTTGATGGGGGAAAGGAAAAGTATAAGGGGGTTATTTTTTATTTTTGGTGGAGAGGGTTAGGAGGTGTGTAGAAACAAGGAAGAGAGCGAAAAAAAGATTAATGTGAAATTTCAAAACTGACCTTCTTCATCTTGGAAAACCACCTCAAAGTTCTTGCTCCAATCTGAGATGGAGAAATTACGGGTGGCTTTCAGAGACTGTGAAGCAGTGAAAGAAAGGAAACCATCAGAACATTGGTTGGCATCTCTTTGTTGTTAAAAACAAAAATGAAAGAACATTATCATTGTCAATTTAACTAACCAGGAGGAAATCCATTTTCTGTAATATGCTAGTGCCTGGAGGAGATATATTACCTACAAATAAACTTTAACAATACCATCTTATATTTCAAATGCACATATGTCCAGAAGAAATTTAAGGTTTTAGAAAAGAATTGAATTCATCTCTATACCATTGTTGTTGCTGGAAAGATGAAGTCAATTTTTTTTTAATGTTCATTTTACTACTGAGGAAAGCCTTACATAAAAGATATAAAAATGACTCAAATTAGTAAGTTGTCAGTATAACAGCAAAGCAATCCTGGTTTCGAGTCAAGTATAGTCTATCCACTAGACAGCTCCATCCACCAGGATAGGTTCAGACAGGGAGTCATGCCACCCGGAGAATGTAGCTAAGAAAAGGGGTTTCCAGGCACACCTAACAGAGCCAAACATCACAAACACTTTCTGGACAGAGACCAAGCTTTCTCATTCCTGGGGAATGTAAGAACTACGCCAGTGTCTACGCAGTGGAGACAGACACACATCAGGTGTTCCTTTCCAACAGACCAGAGTGACAACAAAAATCATTTCCTTTTCACACAAGAGTTCTTCTATTCTAGAGATTCAATAACAAGAACCCTCCTCTGTAACATCTACTTTCATCTGCCCTACATAGAGGAGTTGTTAGATTGCTCACAAGTTAGTTCAGTACAGATTGTAAAGCCAAACGTATAACCTAGTCTCTCCTCTCAATGACACAGACCCAAACTTAGTGTAATGAAACACACAGAAGAATAGTCTAACAGAATTTTAAAAGATGAGAGAAATTTGAATTTCATAAGAAAGATAGCCTACAGAATGTAAACAAATACTGAAGAGGTTTTTAGTTGAAAAATATTGGGAACTCTTGACAGAGATGAGACTTTACTCACTGACTCCAACAAGGCGTGCCTGCTGACCTTCAGGGTGACTTTGGAATGTGGTCTTTTCATATGTACCTGTCGAAGCTCTCGTTGGAAAAAGTTCACCTTGTCCTGAAAGGTCTCAGAGCCTCCTGAGGAGAAACAAGAACCACTGTGAGTGCAGCCTCATAAGAAGACATCTGTGCAGGCCACCTCTACCCTCAGACACCCAAGGCAGCTGGGGTCACTGTCTGCCCTCTCAGGACCTGTGAACAACCTTACCTATGTTCTTATGAAGGGAGCGGATGAAAGTGGCTGCAAGAATGTTCCTCTCCTTACAGCTGAGCTCCACAGGAGGCTGAATGCCATCATCTACCACCAGCGTGAGGAGCTTATGGACAGGGTCAGGGCCAAGGTATGAAAACTGACAAAGTTAAAAAAAAAAGGAGTTAAGTCTATAAAACCCTCAAATGCAGGGCCTCCCTGGTGTGGCAAGGGGTTAAGATGCAACCTATGAAACTATCTGCAGCCACTGAAGCACAAGTTCCATCCCCAGCCCAACCAGGGAGCTCCCTACATGGTGTAGCAGACCTCTCCTGGCTCGCCCGCTGCTCCCCTCAGCAGTGTATTTCAGTCAATCCACCTACTCTGCTCCCCACTCTGTCTCTAGTGAGTCCTCTCACCACCCCCCATAAGAACTGTGGGTTCTTGTATACATAAATAATCTTTAAAAAAAAACAAAATCCTCAAATGCAGCAAAAACTATCCACACCCCTACCCATTTTTTAAAGCAAATTTAACTTTTATTACTACATGAAAGAAATTATAAAAATTTTATTATTGGGCCTCCCCTGGTGGCGCAGTGGTTGAGGACTGGGCTGCAAAGCTGCCCGCAGACTCTACAGCGTCGGTTCAATCCCCGGCCACCGGCAGGGATCCCACATGGCGCGCAGACCTCTCCTCGTCAGTCTGCCTATTCTGTTCCCCGCTCTGGCTCTGGTGAATTCTCTCACACTCCCGTGCTTCTGACTGTACCCAGTGCTTGTATAAATAAATAAATAAATAAATCTTTTGGAAAAATTATTATTTTTAAAGATTTGTCTATAAATCTTTTTAAAAAATTATTATTTTTAAAGATTTATCTATTTATACATTTATACTGGGGTACAGGCCAGAGGTGTGGGGTAGGGGTGAAAGGATTCACCAGAGATAGAGTGGGAACAGAGCAGGCAGGCTGACTGAAATACACTGCTGAGGGAGCAGCAGGTGAGTCAGGAGAGGTCTGCTGCGCCATGTGGGTCACCTCCCTGGCTGGGGATTGAACTTGTGCTGCATTGGCTGCAGACAGCCTCACAAGTTGCTTCTTAACCCCTTGCGCCAACAGGGAGGCCCTTAACTATATATTACGAATATTATCAATTTGATATAAAAGCTTGCTTTTCTTGCATGGAAAAACTGAAAGTACCTACATTAATCATATTAATATCTACATTAATCATTTTTGCCTGCCAGAAAACAGTAATTATGTGAATGTAATGAGGTTAATTTGCAGTTGGTTAATTATTCAGTAGGTCAAATCAACAAATACTACTTTGTAGCCAGCCTGCATTGTGTGCATGTGTGTCTCCCCTTCTGCACCAACTAACAAAACAAGCTAAGCCAGTTTTTTCCAAGAAAGTACCTACCAGGAGTAAGTACATCCCCTTGTTTTTTTATCTCAGTGCTCTACAACACAAATTTTACTTTAAATCATGAATAGCAGAACCTGCCTTCAGTAAGGATCACAGGCAACACTATAGATCTTCCAACATAAAACATTAAGGGTAAAGATAATGGGGATATACAAAGCAGCAAATGGCTACCTTGAAGAGGTTGGACAGAGTGGCTGAAGGAAAGTGATTTGCCTTTAAATTTCAAAAACTCAGAAAAGTTAGGAAAATTTTCTAAATATATATGAATGCTGATTCTAAAAATAGCTTTAGCACACTGAGAATTCAAGCCAGAGATACTAACACAGACTCCACTAACTTAGTCTTTGGGCAAAAGATGACTATTCTGGGTTGCTGCTGAATCCTTTTTCTGCAGGCACATATCCTTCTAGAACTTCTATATTCTTCATGCTATTTTGTGAATAACAACTCTTACTTTATTGGGCGATGAATACCATAAGCACAATGAGAACTTCCCCAAACACCAAAAGCCCTTCTAGGGAAAAAAAAAAAAAGAAGCTAAGGCATACCAGAGTTGAAGCCTAGTCAGCTTGACCAGATGTAAGTTCAACTTACTTTTGTTCCTGGGCACACTCGGAAGGTGTAAAGGCGCCAGGGAATGATTTTCAGGTAGAACTCCTTTACTGAGAATTGCTAGAGGACCAACATAAAGAAAATGAATGATAAATAAAAAGGCTCTACTTGGATATTGTACTTCCAATATCAGAGTCCCTATCTACATGTCCTGTGGTAATCTTTTCCCTCTAAGGACAAAGAGAACAATTTGGACTGTACTGAAATCAAATAAATAACACTAACTCTATCCTGAAATAAGCAAATCAAAAATATTATTCTGAAAATATAACTTCACACTGCTTATAATCTTAAAATTCAAGTCTTATTGCCATTTCTAAACATCTGAGATCAGATTTTCACTGTATGAGTAGAGAACATTTCTCCTAGAAACAACCAAACTCTTCTGGTCAGTCAGGAGTTGTTCAGAGAGACTTCCTCAAAGTCAGAGACAAGAAACAACAGTGGTCATACCCACTGCTTTATCTTTAAGTTGAAAGGTATTAAGGATTTGCCATGGAAGAGGAGGTAGGGGAGTGGAAGCATGGGGACAGGTAGTTATGGTAGTCTCATACCATGAAAGCCATAAAAATCCTTTTGGTCCTGGGTGGGGGTAGGAGAGTGGGGTTGGCATCAGAGGGCCAAAAAAAGAAAAAGATCCCTTAGATAAGAATAAAAAAGGATCCCTTTATACCATCTACCAAAAAAAGGGAATGATAATAGTCTTTTAATCTAAAAATGTTATCTAAACATGTAGTAGGTCAGAGTTTTTCTTGATTTTTAAAAAACTCTTCATTAAAGAAAATTACACATACACAGGCTAAAGAAGAAAAAACCATATAATGAACCCATCACTACCTTCAACAATTATCAATTCACAGCTAATTTTGTTTCATCTATAACCCATCAATTATCCCATTACTAATTCCCCAGGCCAAATGAGGGCTAGATTTTCAACTGATGAATAGTAAATAGCAAAGTGTTCTGAAGTAGAACAGAATCAGAACTAGAGTTTTGGTTATGTGATTAAAGGAACATAATGGGATGTCTCAAGAATCTCATTTTTCTGAAGTCTGAATGAATAAGCAAAATACAAATATTAAAAAGAAAATCCCTAACACAAAGTGCCTCTTAGCTCAGGGGCCTTGGGAAATTCACCTCCTTGTCTCTGCCAGAATTTCTCTATTCCAGTTCTGTAGCCTGATAGTGACATCTATTTATTGTAGTTTCACAAATCACAGAATGAAAGATCAAATTGTTTTGAAATAGCACAAAGGGCCAAACAGAATTTTTACACAAGTGAAAAAAAATTTAATAATTAAAGTAGTTCTCTTTAAAACTCATGCCCTGAAAACGCTCCACAAAAGCCATCAAAGGGCAGAATGGCGCAGGTGCAATAAAGTGCCCGGGCATACAGAATTCCAGACAGAGGCTGAATCGAATCCAAAATACACTTGAAGCAGCAGAAGTGGCATGATCTGCTTAAGTTAGGCAGCCTCCCTTAGTATCCTAGGAACACTATAAAAGTCAGTAACTTTGCCTTGATTCTGAGACTGTTACTTATAGTTTTTGTTAGCAAACCTTCCAAGACCCCCAGTGCCTGCCTGAAACCATGCATGTGTGTATATGTGTGTACATGTACACACACACACACACACACACACAGTTTTCCCCTAAGCATACATACCTATAATAAAATTTAATTTATAAATTAGGCAGAGAAAAATTAACAATGCTAAAAGAACAGTTGCAACAATATATATATAGTAAAAGTTGTGTGACTATGGTCTCTCTCTCATTGTGCATATTTTTGAATGAACTGGAATTGCTGCACTGACTGGGATAACTAAAATCAAGGAAAGTAAAACTGTAGCTCAGGAGGAACAGCTATGCCAACTATATGCAAGCCCAGGCAAGGGAATTCTGAGGCAAGAATGGGAGTTCCTACCTTTGGTGACACATAACAGTACACCTTCTTTGGTTTCTTCACCTTCTCGGGGGTATGACACTCTGAGGGTGAATCTTCATCTTCCTCCTCAACAGCAGTGGAAGGCCGGCGCTGGGAAGAGCTCATGTGCATGGGCGGGAGGTGCCATGGTGTGCTGGTACAGTTGGTAGCATTATAAAGATAAGCCTCAAAGTAAATACTCACTCCTGAGGTGGACACATTGCGTTCGACAATATTCTTCTCATTCTCTGAAGTATAATAAGGAGTAAGGTTTAAGGTAGGAGTCAGAAAGAAAAAGTTACCTATCACTAGAACTTGAGTCCATGGGACTCTAAGTCAAGTTTGGTTCAAATATCAAATTCTTGTAAAGTCGATCAGAAGAGAACAGACATGCAAAGAACAAGTGGCTGGGAACAGGCCTAAATCGCAGCTTTTCTTTCAACTCACCACTCAGAACAATAATGTCAAATTCGCCATTATTGATTGGCTGACTTTGGTATGAAATGCAGGCATGGAAGCAGCCGCGAGAATGCAGGGTGAGCCGCAAGAACACCTGGCAAGTCTGTCTGTTGGATGTCACTGACTTCTCAAAGGAGACTCCAGTGCTCTCTTCTTCTTGAGGACCAAGCTATAGGAGGAAAACAAGGCATCACCAGACATACATAATGTTCCCTATCTGCAAAATAACTTATTCCTTCCAAAGAACTTTCCTTTCTATGAGCTTATCTCACAAGTCTCAGTCACTGAAGAGAGGTATGGTCAGATGAAGGAAGGACAGCACAGAAGCCAGGAAGAAGGAGACGAGGGAAGGAATTTGCAAGGGGAAGAATGACAGAGAGAGGAGTATACAGAGAAAAAAGGGAGGCTGCTTACCTCATGAATGGACAAACTGTAATTGAGTTCATCTCTCAAGGATGCGGAATTGTTGGTGGGGTTGTCATACTCATCTCGAGGTACTATTTGAAGGGTGTGTGGCTGCCCACAGGTTAACACAAGAGTAGAAAAATGGCATACTATTTTAGTCTTGGAAGGAACCACCATTCCTGGAACAAAGACAATGAAGTCTAATGTTTAAAGATTACAAAGCATCAGTGAGTCCTAGAGAGCAGGGCCCCTGCCCAATTCCGAGGGATAAACAATACCATTAAGAGGCAGAGAAAAAAAAGAAAACAGCTCAATTCAACTGAACTTGGGGGATCATTCTTACAAATTCCTAACAAGCACTAAACAATTCCTACAAGCACTAAACAAAATGAGAAAATAACTTGGAGAAAACAGAACTGAGAATTATAGCTATAGTATTTAGAGTCCCACTTCAAATCTGCAAGAAGGCAGGTCTTTAAAATAAATACTGAACAACTGCAAAAACAAAACAATCTGAAATACGGTCAGATGCCAATTTAATAACACATGTACACACTTACATGTTGAAAACTACAATGAAAAATTCAAAGAGTCTAAATAAATTCAGAGGTGTTTATGAACTGGAAGAGTCAAGAGAGTAAAGATGTCATTCACTGCAAAGAATATACAGGTTTAATCCAATTCATGTCAAAAATCGCAACAAGATAATTTATAGATTTACATAATTTTATTTTCAATTTATGTGGAAAAGCAAAGGACCAGAATAGCTAAAACAATTTTGAACAAGAAGAATAAAGTGAGAACACTCAGGCTACCCAGTTCCTAGATTTATTATGTAGCTAACAGCAATCATGGCTTTGTAGTGTTGGTGGAGTGACAGAAACATGGATCAATGGAACATCTGAGAACCCAGAAATAGAAACTGCCCCCCACCAAAATGCCCAACTGATCTTTGACAAAGTTGCAAAGCAATGTAATAGGGGAAAGATAGCCTCTTCAATAAATGATGCTGGAAAGACTAGGCATCTATTAAAAAAAACAAACTTTGATCCAAGTCTCACATGTAAATATTAACTAAAAATGGATCGCTAACTTAAATATAAAATTTTAAAAAAGCAAGAAACATTCAGAAAAAATAAATATGAGGAAATCTTCAAGATACAGAACCAGAAAAGAGTTCTCAGATGCCAAAAGCATGATCCATAAAAGGAAAAATAAGGTGATTTCACCAAAAATAAAAACTTTCGTTCTATAAAGACACTCTTAACAGTATGAAAAGAAAAGCTAAAACTTGAGAGAAAGTATCTGCAAACTATGTATCTAACAAAGGACAGGTATGCAGAATGTATAAAGAACTCTCAAAGCAACAGTAAACAGCCAAAAAGCCTAATTAGAAAAGACATTTCACCAAAGAGGATGTACAGATGGCAAATGAGTACATGAAAATATGTTCAACATGGTTAATCACTTGGGAAATGTAAATTAAAACCACCACACACATATCAAAATGGCTAGAACAAAAAATAGTGACAATATCAAATGTTGGCAAGGGTATGAAAAAACTGCTAATGGGAATCTAAAATGCTACATGCACTCTAGGAGAGCTTGACAGTTTCTTAAACCCAGCAATTGCATTCCTGGGCAATAAACCCAAAGGAATGAAGACTTATGTTCATACAAAAATGTGCACATGAATGTTCACAGATTTATTCATAATAGTCAAAAAGTGGAAACAACCCAGCTGTCTTCCAAGTGGTGCATGATTAAACTATGGTACATTCACATTCAGTAATAAAAAAGTATATTCCACAACCTCAATAACTCTCCAGAGACTTATGCTGAGTGGGAAAATAAGGTATGTAACCAAGTGGTGACATACTGTATAATTCCGTTTACATAACATTCTTAAAATGACAAAACTATAAAAAAGGAGACTAGATTCATCATCAAAAGGCAAAGAGAAGGATCCTTGGGGGGGAGGGGATTGTTTTGTATCCTGACTGTTTCAACCGGGCTGTGTGATACTGTACTATAGTTTTGTAAGAAGTTACCATTGGCAGAAAGTGGGCCAAGGGTACACCAGATTTCTCTGTATTATCTCTTATAACTACATGAGAATTGACAATTATTTTAAAATAAAGACTTTAACTTTAGTTTAAGAAGGAAAGGACTGGTCTATACTACAAGGACATGAATTGTTCTCCATTGGTGGCAAGGAGGTGGGTGATGATTATGTGGAAAGGAATCTGTGAATGAGGCACTCGATGAAGCAAAGGAGGAGCTACATGGAGAGGCAAATGGCTTGTGAGCCACCTCAGCCAGTGTTGTCTTCTATTATAAGAGAAAGAAAAGAGAGGACCAGTCAAGCAAAAAGATCTACTTAAAACTCCTCTCATTATGTTTTGGTTCCAAAAGATTCCTAAGGACCTCTCATTTCTGTGGATACCACCCTGGCCATTGTCTAATGACATCCTCAAAAGGAAGCCAAGGCAGGGCACAGAGGACAGGATGACAGGGACAACTGACAGACAGGCTGAGGAGACAGAAGTCAGAGATTATACTTTGAGGATTTAAAACCAGTGGGCAACTGTTATTTGACATAAAAGACAAAAGAGGGGGGAAAGGGTAGAGATTCTTAGATACCTAGAAGCTTGAGCAGACACTCTTCAGTGAAAAGCAAAACACACATTGGCAGAAAGGACGCCACGGTCAGGGTGCTTTTATATGAATAGATTTCAAAAATCAGGAGAATTTACCTTTCGTCTATTCTGACATCCTTATCCCTAAGAACTTACCAGCTAATGATGCAGCATTTCCACTACTAGAGAAATAAAAACATATTTCCACACCATACACTAATGTCCACAGCAGCATTATACATAGTAGCTAAATGTCCATGAAAGGATAAAAGCACAGGACAGCCACACAATGGAATATTATTTAGCAATAAAAAGAAATGAAGTACTGATCCATATTGTAGCATGGATGAACCTTAAAGGCATTATACTAATTGAAACAAGCCCATCACAGAAGGTCAAATATTTTATGATGACACTCACATAAAATATCTGGAGTAGGCAAAACCAGAGTAAGTGGCTTAGTGGTTGCCTAGGGGCAAAAGGTTTGGGGGGAAATGGGAAGTGACCCCTAATGGGTTTAGGTTTCCCTTTGGAGTGATGAAAACGTTCTAAAATTGACTGTGGTGATGGTTGCATAACACTATGCATTTTAGGGGCCTCCCCGGTGGCACAGCGGTTGAGCGCTGGGTTGCGAAGCTGCCCGCGGCCTCTGCGGCGCCGGTTCGATCCCCGGCTGCTCCCCAGCCACCGGAGGAGGGTCCCACATGGCGTGCAGACCTCTCCTGCCGCCCGCTGCTCCCCTCAGCAGTGCACTTCGGTCCTTCTGCCTGCTCTGCTCCCCGCTCTGGCTCTGGTGAATTCTCTCACCCTCCCGCGCTTCTGACTGTACCCAGTGCATGTATAAACAAAACAAACAAACAAACCAGCAAACAAATAAATAAAGCATGCCTCTACAAAAAATAAAAATAAAAATAAAAAAAAATAACACTATGCATTTTAAAAATCATTAAATTGTATATTTTAAATGGATGAGTAATATGTCAGGTGAGTTAAATCTCAAGAAAGGTATTAATTTAAAAAAAAATAAAGACAAAGACAAAGGAAGATAAGAATAGTGGGAGAGAAAGGGAGAGAGAATGAAAAAAAGAACCTACCAGGCTGAAAAATCTTGTAGTAGGGACTATAGGCCACGTTTAATCCACCAAGTTTCACTGAGATTTCATAACGTCCAGCCCTGCGTACAGTGAAGGCCACCTTGACCACATTGAAACTGGGTTCCTGGAGGACTTCCTGCGTCACTGGAATTTCCACTGCTAGCTCCACATGAGAAATGTGAACTCGCAGTCCCACAGGCCGGTGCGCAGGGAAAGGCTGCCCATTCTTGTAGAATAACTGCAGTGGGGAAAGGGGTACTCAGTAGTGAGCAGGGGGGACGTCACCCCTAGTCTAACTCAAAAGAGTGTAGAGAAAGAGGAAATAGCTGGCAAATCCCAGTACCCACCTGCTCCTACAGTCCTGCTCACAGAGAGAAACAAATTCTCTCAGAACTTCTAAGAAAACCATTAAATCTCAAGGTTTCAAAGAAAACCACTAAACCTGTTCCGAGAATAAGGATAATTTCAACTTGACATTTCTGAACCACAAATGCTGTCTCCCCTGTCTTACTGGCCCTTTTTATTATATTATACTGCTAACCAGATGTAAAGTTAAGTCATCGGTATCATTGGCACCAAGTGAACACACCCATACAGTCAGCGTAAGGGTGGTTCAGGGTAACAAGTCAAGCAGAATGCTGCAGCGGAAGTCACTCCGGAGGGTGGCAAACTTTTACTGCAAAGGACCAGAGAATATATTTTATTTGGCATTGTGGGTCATAAGCAACAACTCAACTGTGATTAACTACTCATGTGCAGTCCACACAGGATGATGAATGGGTGTGACTGTTCCATTTAAACTACATTTACCTGAATTGGCCCTCAGGTCAAAGTTCGCCAGCCCTCTCTCCCCCCGCCCCATCTACAAACCTATTCTCTTCAGTAAAAATTTTCTTTTATTTTGAAGAGGTAACATTAAGCTTTATACATCTTCAAAGCTAAGCACCTATTAGAGCAAAATTTATGATTCTTCAGATATTAACAATTGCCAAGTTCCTGGGAGGGGTTGAAAAACAAGGGAAATACTAACATTCCAGGCCAGCACCACCAACTGAATGAACTGGGCTCTGGAAAGCAAGTGACTCAGAAAACCCAATGGGTATGGAGACAGAAACATTCCCTTACATGCACTCGGAAGGCCATGCTGTGGCCCACCTCATAGGGGTCCTTCCAATCCCAGGACACTTTGCAAGACCGGGGATCCAGGTAATTTCCCCGCACGTAGTCATAAATGGTCCGGTCCCCTCGGCGCTCACGGTCCTCATTCTGGAGGAAGCTGACTACACGTGCGGCAAGCTCAAAGAGGAACTTAATTGTGAAGAAGAATGCTACCACAGACACTGTGATTCCACCTACGCAAAAGAGAACACACACACCACCGGCCAGTTACACATTACAGCTTCTCATTATGGAACATCTCTCAAAGATTAATGGAAGACAGGACAGGAGAGCAAGACTTCCTAAGACACACTGTGCTGGGTCAAAACCTCTGTGGGGTCGGGCCTCCCCTGGTGGCGCAGTGGTTGAGCGCTGGGCTGCGAAGCTGCCTGCAGCCTCCGCAGTGCCGGTTCGATCCCCGGCCTCCGGTGAGGATCCCACATAGTGCAACAGACCTCTCCTGCCATGCCCACTGCTTCCCTCAGCAGTGTATTTCGTCAGTCTATCTGTTCTGTTCCCCGCTCTGGCTCTGGTGAATTCTCTCACCCTCCCTCACTTCTGACTGTACCCAGTGCTTGTATGTATGTATGTATGAATAAATAAATAAATCTTTTAAAAAAACAAACCAAAACAAAAAACCTCTGTGGGTAAAAAGAGGATCTTCTCTACCAGGATCAGAACTACATTCCTCAGGTCAAATCCCATCCACCCCCTTTATTTTTGTAAATAAAGTTCATTGGAGCAAAGTCCCACCCATTCATTTCCATATTGTCTAGAATCGATTTTGTCTGGAACTGACAGGGTTCAGTAGTTGTGACAGAGACTGTATGGCCTGGGAAGCCAAAAATAATTTCTCTCTGGCCCCTTACAGAAAAGTTTGCTAATCCTTATTCTATACCATGGGCCACACATAATGCCTGCCTCCACCTTCCTGCCTACACTGGGCCCTCACAGAAGTGGTGAAATGAATGCACATTCTATACCCTCCATGTGGAAGCCTTCCCCTCCCTTGTCCACTTGGCAAAAGTTGCCCCCAATCCCCACTAGAGTTAGGGGTTCCCTCTTCTAGGCCTCCTCAAAGTACTATATATTTACCTTCTACAACTTTTCTCCCCCTTTACTATATCTTCCTTCATGTCATGAATTCCTTGAAGGCAGATTTTCGCCCTATTTGACTTTGACTCGGCATGAAACAATGTCTGACATTGACTACAAATTACTCGGTAAATATTTCCCAAATGAATGAATTTTAACGAATGCCAATTCTGTGAAGATACATTCTGGCATGAGTAGAAAAATGTCTGTCTATTTTCCAGGAGAAAGGGAACAGACAGGAGGCAAAAAGGATGTAAACAACCCTAGCAAAAAGATAATGAGAAGAGTTCTTTCCATAACATACCAATAACGTAAAACATCAGGTCCCTTCAACGCCCACAGACAGCCAAGGATCACAGCTGGAACTGCAAAAGAAAACTTGGTTAGTTTTTTCTCCAATTCGTCCTTGCAGCCATCTCAGAGACAAAGTAGACTGTATGGCTGGAGTGAAACATCTTAAGCCTTACTGTCCCTTTCCCTTGCTCGAGCTTAACCTCAGATGTATTTCAGAGAAACAGACTGTATCACAACCCTGAAGATTTCCAATCTACTGACCCCCTAGGAATACCACAGTCACTTGCTTTACTGCTAATTACAAAATACAATAACATGACTTCTAAGATCCAGGGCCCCAAGACACTTTCCCTCCCCCAAGCAAAGTGTGCTAATTAACACAAGCCAAGAGAATAATGGAGTCACTCTCCCCTTATATTTGCCTTCTGGAAGTAATTCATGCAAGTAGAAATAGTTATGTAAAATGTGGATTTTCAAGTATTATCATCACGTTGGCATTATGTAATTAAAACAAACCCTGGATAATCTCAATAATAAGCAGTGGGTATGTAAGAGAAGTCATTTATGCTGTTTCCAATCAGACAAACTAATGGGCCCTGTGAAAGAAGAATTCAGCAGAAAGGCCAATGAGAGGACCAAAAGGAAGAGGCTATACCTCTCATGGTAAGTGCTGTCTTAGGCCAGAACAATTCAAACAGGGATCAGAGTCTGGGGGAAACTTTCCTGTTATTAAACCTGTTTCCATGATAAGACTTTTCAATCTTCATTACTCATTTGAACTACCCATGGTACTGTCAAGGAAAAAAGCAATGTACACTGACAAAAAAAAAAAAAAAAACAATGTACACTGGGCAATACCCCACATATTGCCAAGGAAAAAAGCAATGTACACTGACATCTTATCACCGAGTTTTAACCTCAGTAGAGTTGTTATACTCCCTGTTCTACAATGCACTGAATTTATCCCTTATTTTCAAGTCAGTATACATTAAGGTCACCAATGTTAGCTCAAGCCAGCATGTTTTTCCAGCACTTAATCTATTCTATTACTGAAGAGACAAGACAGCTCAGTTCCGAGAGGGAGAAGAATAACTGCTTTGTTTTTTGTTTTTTTTTGCAGGATGGGCTTTTATATCTGATTATGCTAGAAAAGTTTAAGCAAAAGACAGAAAATGGCAATTAGTTTCTTTGATAATAATATGCCCAATGAAATCCAGACACAGTGGGCAATTTAAGGAACGACTGTGTCAAAGAATCACAGAAATCCCTATTTACAGTGGTGTCTGAAGTCCAGTTACCACAAAAGAAATCCACACATGGAACATTAACATTGTCAATATACTTGGATTAAGCTGTTTCCAAAAGGGACTGTTATAAAGAAATAATAATCAGGGCCTCCCTGGTGGCGCAGCAGTTGAACACTGGGTTGCAAAGCTGCCTGCAGCCTCTGCTGCGCAGGTTCGATCCCCGGCTGCTCCCCGGCCACCAGAGGAGGGTCCCGCACAGCGCGCAGACCTCTTCTGCCGCCCGCTGCTCCCCTCAGCAGTGTACTTCGGTTCTTCTGCCTGCTCTGCTCCCCGCTCTGGCTCTGGTGAATTCTCTCACTCTCCCATGCTTCTGACTGTACCCAGTGCTTATATAAATAAACAAATAAATCTTTAAAAAAAAAAAGAAATAATCAGACCCAAAATCTGGAATCACAACTATTGAATCTCATTCTGAACAGTATCTCCTCTCTCATTACCCTATGCTGAAAGCTGCTATCATCTCTCAAAAAGCATCTGTGTGTGCCTTACAGGATGTGCTAGATGACTAACCAAAACCAGCAGTTAAACTGTCTTAAGCACTCCCTCAGTTGGATACCACCCATCTGATCCTAGATGTGAAACTTCTGATCCTCAGTGAATTTACAACATTCAGCCAAAATGAAGTCCACGTGACCAGTGTTACAGGACTTTGGTCTCAAGTGTCTTACTCCTTGGAGGGATAAGCAATGTCAAATTATGACACATGTCATAAGGGCTAAGAAAATTCTTATGCTCTACCTCTGATAACTACAACTTTTCTGTGAGAGACAGCTGATAAGCAGCAAGTCAGAAGTTTAGAGAGCAGTCTAGGGATTTCAACAAACTGTGTGACCTGTCTAGATACCAGAATTCTCATTGCTGTAAAGAGTTAAGATTTCATCATTTCTACGGCACTATTCCTTTAGTCTGACATGACTCCCTGAAATCTTCCTTGATTCTCTATTTAAAACCCTTCCCTCGGGGCCTCCCTGGTGGCGCAAGTGGTTAAGCATCGCACTATGAAGCAATTTGCAATCTCTGCAGCACAAGTTCAATCCCCAGCCTGCTAGGAAGCAACCCACATGGTGCAGCAGACCTCTCCTGACTCACCCGTTGCTCCCCTCAGCAGTATACTTCGGTCAATCTGCCTGTTCTGTTCCACACTCTGTCTCTGGTGAAGCCTCTCACCCCCTGCATCTCTGGCCTCTGCCCCAGCTCTTGTATGCATAAATAATCTTTAAAATAAAATCCCTTCCCTTGTCTGAACTCCAATACTACTTTATCATTTCTCTTACAGCACTTACATTTTCTTTAATTTTAGTCCCTTGTTTGCTTTATTTTCCATTTCAGAGTTGTCAGTAAAATGAGCCAAAAGCCCAGTCTTAAAAACATTCTACAGCATCCAATTGTATATAATATGCAACAAATTAACTTATTTTTATTAACTGCAATTAAATATGAATAAAATGTTGAATGGATAGGGTTAAATGTCTGTTCTTTTCTTTGTCCAGAAGCCTAAGGACGAGGAATTTTCCAGATAGGGCCTTCTTTTCTGAGATCGTTTTTAAAATTTCTCTAATTAGCAGTATATTCACTTGAGCCAGGGGTTATAAGCTCTTCATGCCAAAAGGTTCCAATAGGCTTCATTTCTACAAGTACATGTCAAAGACACACTTCTACAGTAGTGGTTTCTGAGGCATGGCAGGGATTCTAGTTTTATGGTCCTATCCTGAGCATTATTTTTCTACAACAGTCTATCTTACTTTCCATTTTTTGCTGCTCACACTTCTTCATAAAAATTATTTTGGAATTCTTCCCAGGTCTAAATCAAGCAGAAGAAAGTAGTATGTTGAGCCTCCACCACACTATTTCATACAATTCAGTCACTAGAGTAGTTTGTTTCAAGGTCACCTATTTAGTGTCCCTGCCTTAGACAATTCAACAAACTGTGACACCCTAAGCTAGCAGAATCACAGCAGTAAATTAGTAACTCATGACCCCTTTATTGAGCCACTTGTCAAACACTGCATTATGAGCTTTACCTGTGTTAGCCTCAGTAACTGTGCCTACAGCAATGTGGTAATATAAGCACTATTTTACAGATTAAAAAAAACAAACAAATGCTAGACTGAGAAAAGTTAATTTTTTTATATTTGGTGCAGTCATTTATTCTGGTTTCATGGGTGTTAAATAGCTTTTTAATTTAATTTTTAAATTTAATTATATATACAGATTATTTTACATCATTCTTCATTTTTGTACAATGTATGCTTTCTCCTCTCAGTCGTAGTCCCTGCGAGTGGCCCACCACCAATTCACCCGAGTCCCATCACTACAGTCCCTTGTGTTCTCCCCACCCCTGTTTTGATCCTTTTCCCTTCTCCTCCCCTGCAGAATGTCTCTGATTTATAGTTGCCTGTTGATTTTGATTTTTATTATAATTACTTTCCCCCCATCCCCTATTTGTTTCCTCTACATTCCTCCTATAAGTGAAACCATCCGATATTTTTCTTTCAGAAAAGTTAATTTGTCAAACATCTCCCAGTTGGTTAAGCGACAGAGCTGAGACTTAAGCTCATGTCTAATTATGAAGTCCAGTTCTTAACTGGATACAATATTGAATTATGAAAAAGAATGAACTCAACAGATTTGAGAAGAGAAAAAATTTAAGAAAGCAGTTAAAAGAAAACATGAAAAACATTACCCAATCTTACTGTGAGGAATCTCACCATGAGGCTAAAATTAGAAAGATAAACACTTACAGTCCTTTTTTAATCTTTTGAAATAAAAAATTAAGCATGACAAAGGAAAATGGAATGCAGTGCCAATTATCTAATGCACAAATAGCACTTGCTTACTAATAGATCCTGGAATTGCTCAATACCACACTTGGCTCAAATTCCCCACAAAAGTCATGGGAGGAGGAAATACTTAAAAATACCTGTATAAAGGGAGTGTCAGATGGTTAACTGACATATATATATACTCTTATATAAATATATGCACACACACTCTTTGCTTTTATTGGAATATAGAGGTCTATAATGACGATATCATATAAAGTTTAGCCCTAACATTGAAGATCATGTATGAAAAAGTCATTTCCCAGAAATGGAGAATTGATTCCTTCATATTCAAAGTCCATATTCAAAGGAGAGGTGGGCATGAGGGGCAAAGTCAATTCTAACTGTAACTGTGCACCTGAATAGCTATCCCTTGCTGAGAAGGCTTAGCAACCAGTCACTGAGTTCACGTTCTGCATCCCAATAACAAGTGAATCTTAACTAATCTATGGTCTTACCTTTAAACGAGGGCCCATGTTCTGATAAGCCAGCGGAGCACACCTATTCGCCAGAGCAGATAACTTTGTCCACTTTCACCTTGTCTTCCCAATTCCACATGAAAGAAAATAGCTGCAAGTCAACAGAAAGTGTCTGTCCATCAGACCTTTACTGAAGGTGTGTCACATAAGCAGGACAGTCAATGTTTCTGAACAGACTGGATGAGTTCCAGGGTGGAGAAATACAGCCCCAGAATATATCATCCCTGGACCTCTTTCAAGTGCAGGGTCCAATCAACTGCCAAACGATGCATCTGTTCTGCTGTCCCAGGATCCTACCCTACAAGAAGAAAGGGTCAGTGGAATAGGCTTTATTTCTAAAAAAGAATCTGCAGATCAGGCAGTAGAAACCCTGGGACATTAGTAATAACCCAGGACTGATAACCTCTGACCAAGTTTTCCCAATTAATACTGCACAGTTTTCCCAAGGCCACATTCCACCATTACAAGTCAGGCAGCAACCTCACTGCCTAATTGTGTCACTTTCAGAAAGGAAGTCCCAGCATTTCAGTTGATCCCAACCCTCAATAGGAGCAAACTAGAGTAGATATAAAGATAAAGTGTGGGGCCTTCCTGGTGGCACAGGGATTAAAGTTATCAAGCGATCGTCAGCCACTGCAGTGTGGCTTGAGTGAGTTCACTGGCATGAGTTTGGTCCCCGGCCAGGGAGTTAACCCACATGATGCAGCAGACCTCCCCTATCTTACCCGCTGCTCCCCTCAGCAGTGTATTTCAGAAGATCTGCCTGTTCTGCTCTCCATTCTGTCTCTGTTGAATCCTCTCCCTCCCCTACCTCTAGCCCACATCCCAGTTCTTGTATGCACAGATAAATAAAAATAAATCTTAAAAAAAAAAAAACTATATATATATATAGCGTAAGCCTCATCATGACCACATGCCCAGTTTCAGTTTAATGGGACTGGAACACAGAGTCTGGGAACAAGGGCAACTCATGCCATGATAAAGAATAAAGATATTGTATGGGGACTATAACCAAGATGAAAATGCATACATTGTGCAAAAATGAAAAATGATGTAAAAAATATATAAAAAAGAAAAAAAATAAGTAACAAACACACAAAAAATGAATAAAGATATTATTCAATTGGAAAGAGGAAACTACTAAAGAGTTTTAAAACCTAATCTATTAGCTTGTGCAGTAGGCATCCGTTGTACCCTCCATGCATTTCTGAGACATGGGTAAAAACTGTTGATTTTATCTTTAAAACAGTACAATCTGCTACTATGTGGGGGTGGAGGGAAATTACTCAGTAAAGTCAGTCTATAACTCAAGACTTCCGTGAAATGAATATAGCAGGAAGAGGTTTATGGCAAAGCATAAACAGTCACCACAATACAAGAAAGAGTACTGATAAGTGAATAAACAAAAACAGTCTTCTTCCACATGGCAGGAACTGTTCTCAGGGCTTCATATGTATCAATTCACATCCCTAAAACAGATACAAGTGTCCCTACCTAACAGTTGAGGAAACTGAGGTACTTTCTTCATACTATACATAGTAGAGTCAAATGCAGGCAAACGAGGCCCAAATCCACTGCTCTACTACCTCTCTACCATTAGAAACCAAGAGGAAACACAAAATGCTAACAAGAGCAGAACTGAATGAGTGAAGGCCAGCAGCTCAAGCAAGCTGGCAAACTTTTATAATTAAAAATAAATAAGTATATGTATTTATTTTAGAATATGATGATGGACTTGCCAAGAACTTGAGCCAAAATCGAGGTCAACTAGCAATTGGAACCAGCTTACAGGATCCACAAACAAGGGAACAGTTACATAAATTATAAGAGATCCATTAGAACACTATAGAAGTATTTAAAATAAATGACATGTTGAGGAATAAAAACAAAGGGAATCAAATAAAATGTTAAATTAAAAAAATGTTAAATTAAAAAGCAAACACAAAATTACTTAGTAGCATGTGCCCAACTTTAAAAACATTACATAAAGATGACTAGAAGGAAAAACAACAATGTTAATAGTGGTCATCTCTTGGTGATGGAATTATAAATAATTTTTTATTTTCTACCTGTGCCTTTAAGTATTTTCCAAATTCTTAATAATGCAAGGGCATAAAAAAGTTTCTGTTTCTGGAAAACAAATACTCTTTTTTCATTTTATATATTTTTACATCATTTTTCATTTTTGCACAATGTATGCATTTTCATCTTGGTTATAGTCCCCATACAATTCCCAGCCCCCCTTGTTTTGATCCTACTCCCTTCTCCCCACCACTGTGTCTCTGATTTATAGTTGCTGAAACAAATACTTTCTAGAGACCCATTTTTCCTAAAATAGGAAGAGAACAAATAAGCTATATTTTTTTTGCAAATAAGAAAACACTTAAAAATTTAGGCAAAGATCACAGAATTACTGAACATTGGGCCTCCCTGGTGGCGCAAGGGGTTAAGCACTGCACCATGAAACAATCCAAAGCCTCTGCAGCACGAGTTCGATCCCCGGCTGGCCAGGGAGCAACCCACATGGCGAAGCAGACCTCTCTGGTCTTGCCCCCTGCTCACCTCAGCAGTGTGTTTCAGTCAGTCTGCCTGTTCTGTTCCTCGCTCTGTCTCTGGTGGATCCTCTCACCCCCCACCTCTCTGGCCTGTACCCCAGCTCTTGTATGCATAAATAAATAAATCTTTAAAAAAATTACTGAACATTATTTATAGTCATTATTTTTCTTAGTGGGTCTCCAACTCTACAGTTAGCTGTTTGATTGTTAAAACAAATAACTCGTAATTCTAACATCATATTCTAATAATTCTAACATCATCTTTACTGCCCCCTCCATCATGAACTACCATGCTTACCCCTAATGTTTCTGTGTCTCTTGAACTTGTTCCACAAAATTAAGACTCATCTAAAGCACCGCCTGGCTTCCCAGTCCATCTCCCAGGGTCCTCTCTCTAAAGGCAAACCAGTCACTTCCTCCTGTGTGAAGCTCCTGTGCTGAAGAGACCTCTATTATGGCATTTATTGGTCTGTATTATAATCTTTTTTTCACTGTAGTCTCTTAATGGAGTGGGGGTTCCCTGAAAACACTGAGCGGGTCTTACTCATCTTTGCAGACTAGCAGCTACTGTGATGTTCAGAGCTCTCTCTGTGATTTTCACAAGCTCTCCAGGTAATTCCTATGCATGTTAAAGTCTGAGAAGCATGATCTAGAATAGGGCAGACAGCCTGAGAAGGGAGCCACTATCTTGCATCTTTTATAAGCTCACAGGTAATGCTGATGCAGATCATGCTTTCACGAGCAGAAGTCATCAAACTATAGCCCGCAGGACAAATCCACTTCTTTTGAAAACTTTTATAACAAAAAAATGAACATAGTCAAGTTTATTCCTTTATACATATATTGTATGTGGCTGCTTTTGCACTGTAACAGCAGAGCTGAATAGTGGCAGCAGAGACATGTGGCCCACAAAACTTTCCTATCTAATCCTACATAAAAAAGTTTACCAATCTCCGGTGGAAAGGTCTTATCCTTAAAGTTACACAATTGCCTTGTATAAATGAATGCATTTTCATTAATCAAAAAAATATCATTTTCTTCCAGTTCAACTATCCCCTCTAAGGAAAAGAACTATCAAACTTGCAGCATTATGCAAATATTTCTCCTGGCTAATTTCAAGTGATATTTAAAAGCTTTAGACTTTCCATACTCTGAGAAGGAATTTTATACAATCATTTACCAAAGTATGTGTTTCTTACCATCATGCCTGCATTTCGTCAAGGCTACAATTTCCTAAAACTAGTACCTCAGGGGCCAGATACTATACTCAGGTTTCTAAAATTAACACAATAATTATTACTGACTCAGTCTCTACTTCCAAAGCACTATTTTAAAAAGACATGAAAAAGCTGATGTAAAAGCTCACTTCAGAATTCTACTTCTTATGGAGCATTTGCACGTAGGCGTTCCAAATATCACCTATTGAGTTCTACGAAATAAGACAGTACCAAAGAAGCTATTTGCTTTGTAAGATGTAGTCTCCAGTATTCTCTATACAGAGCACCAGCCAAGAGCCCAGGGAAATCAATTTTTTTAATCACACTATAACAGTGTAGGGGTCCCAGAGTGCCCCTCAATCTGCCCTGTAACAACACTACTAGCAAAAGGCCCATCGGTTAGAGAGGTCTGACTAAGGAGGCTCCACAAAATCAAGTGTACCATCAGATGCTTCAGATTACACATTTTTCTTTGCGTAATTTAACCCTTGGTTTATTCTCCTCACCCCAAAATCCCACCATAAAAGATTGTCCTCCCCCATAAGTTTATAGTCTTGAGATATTTATACAGTTGTGTATTCTTGATATCTGGTTCAGCCAAGTTATACGGTTTTCATTTATATTCTTTCCTCATCCGTCAGCCCCTCCAGCCTCTTAATCATTCCTGTGGGTCTTCTGTGAACTCTCTCCAACTGGTCCCCAGCGATCTAGTAATGAGGTGCCTCCAACTGACTGCAGCCTTCCAGGAACAGCCTCGTTAGTCAGAATAAGATGAGCTCACCCTCCTCAATCCCATGACATAATACTCCTGAGTAGACAATGCCCCCCCAAATACAGAACACTAGAATGCTGCCATATTAGACTATAACCCTATTCCAAACTCCCCAGATTTGGGCATTAGGACATGCCAGAATGTGCTAGAAGACAGAAGATAAATGACATGTTTCTGTAGCATCTAGTTACTTGAGGATGAGGTGGGTGGGATGAAAAAAAGTACTTTCATGTTGAAACAAATTCACAGATAACAGAACAGAATGCAAAATATGCATGAGTTTCTAAAGATAAAACATGGCTATGTTCAAAATACCCAGTTATTTTGTACTTGAAATGCTGCTTAGGGCTCTGTTCCCAGCCCTCTAGTGGGTAACATATCCACTCCTTTACCATAGAGCTGAAAAATCTACTTGAAATGAAAAGTTTGAAAAGCATTACAATCCCCTCTCAACTTCTGGTCTATTACCCCATTATCACCTACCTCATAGACTCACATTTTAAATAAAAAGGTGTTACGCTGTTTCCCCATCCCTAGACATCTATATTTTCCCTTAGTCTAAAACACAGATGTCAAACAAAGTTTTGGCAAATTTAACTCATTGACTACTAACATCTTCAGGTTCTTCTGTATTGTACATTCTCCACACATTTCCTATTTCTGAGCATTTGCTGACTATCAGATTGTGTGTTAAAAGCACAAAAATAAAACAGGATCTTAACCTCAACTAATTTAATTCAAAGGTCCAACCTGG